GTTGGGAATTGTTCACGGGCTCCCCTGAAAGTTTGTTGGGTTTAGGGTACCGCGGCCGTGGATAAAACCGGAGCAGCCACGCGGCCCTGGAGTTCCACGAGAAAGCAGGAGTTAACTCGCAGACCGGCTGGCTTATGTGCAGCGCAGTTCTGGAGCGCAAGGGTGGGGAGGGCGCGGGTAGAATTCAGAGTCAGTGTGTTTTGTCACCCGCCCCCGGGGGGGGCTTGCCTAGAGGTGCCCTCCCCCCCACACACACCCAGCCGCGAAATACACTTCCATTGCTTAACATTGTTTTGAGGCTGCAGAGTAGAGTCGAGCTACCGGCAATAAATCAAATCCTTAAGAGTACGGTAGCAATTTCTGGAAACTTTAGACAGACCCTTAAGAGGCTCAAAAGAGTTGGGGTGTTCTTAGGAACAAGACCCATGCAGCCCGTGTGTGTGTGTGTGTGTGTGTGTGTGTGTGTGTGTGTGTGTGTGTGTGTGATTTGCTTATGCATGTCTGTATTCAGATAAACAGGCTGATGACCTGAATGGCCTGCATGATTGAGAATCTCCACAGGCCAAGAGGCTAATGGATCTATATATCTGGTATTTTTTTTTTCCTCTGCCTTAACACGTTTGTAAAAAGCGAGGGTACTGCTCCTCCTCTCGGGATTTTTACACCCCTCATCAAATGAATTTTGATGGCTGTGAATTAGCATAAATAAACTTAAATGAGTGGCGGGGGGAATAAAGTCCCTCACTGCTCATAGTTGGTGCTAAGCTGTGCTTCTTTAATGCTCCCTTTTTGATTCAGGCCCCAGCAGGCTAAGTTCACACAACTTCCTGTGCTGTAAACCGTGGTTTGTTAAGACTGGCCCTTGATGGCCCAGCTGAATATAAACAAGCAAAGCACATGAAAGTTTCTGTGAATTATATTTGTTAAAAGGGGAGAGCTAGTCTAATCCCCACTGTGTCCAGAAATTAGCTGAATTGTTCTTAAATTAGTTTCCACAATTTAGGGAGCTAAACCAAATAGCTTCTCCACACAACTATACTTGGGTTGAAAATTATAAAAAAAGGAAACAGAATTGCGTGTATCCCTTTTGAAGCTCTGTTGAGTATATTCCTCCCAATAATAACAAAGTCTCTTTAAGGCAAGCTCAACTCCTGCTGACTATTCAGTTTTTGTTAGGGACAATATAATGGCTTTGTCCTTGCATTTTCTGGAAATCTTTTTCCAGAAAGCTTAGCCTCTTAGCCTATAGCTCTGAAGATTCCATGGAGTACTAACCAGGAAAAACCTGGTTAACATTGGTCAGGTAAGGCCCTCTTCTTTACCCAACTAGTAATCAGCAAAATGAAACCAGTTAGTAGAAGAACTCCTGAAGGAAGGCAAATCTGTGTCCCAGGATAAAGTTGCAGGATCCAGTCTGGGCTGGTCCACCAGGATCAAAGGTATAGTCTTTTGAGTTTTTGGACTCATTCTGGAGCTCATTCTCAGGGAACTTCTTTCTCATTTCTGTTCAGAAAAAAATTCCTTGAGGATGGACTCCACCACAAGTCCAAAAGCTCAGAAGACCAAACCTCTGGTCCCAGTGACCAATCCCGATTGGATCCCGCAGTAGAGTAAAGAGGGCAGTTCCTTCTAAAGGAAGGAATTCCTGTGCTGTAGGAAGCGTAGAAAATCCTTCCTTTAGTAGTAGGAGCTGCCCTCTTTAATATATTTTTCAGGGAGAACTTCATTGATTTCAGTGGAAATTGCTTTTGAGAAGAACAACGGCATTGGTGGTCTTTAACAGCATAGTGAATAAAATGGTTTAGTTATTGAAGTAACTCATATTTTGGCTTGCCAAATTACACTGAATCATTAAGTCATCAACATGTTGAACCACAAAGCCAACAAGCCAAGGTTACAATAAACCAAGCTTATCATATTGTGCCAGTGTGGTCTGCAGTGACATGGGATATATGTCAGCCCGTGTGATTTCTAAAGCACAGCTTACAGTACATGCTGGGTTAATAAAGAGTTGCTCTATTTATAAAGGGAGCAGTCATCTTTGTGCTTATGAGTTGGCTGTTGCATCTTGTAATAAGGGTGTGCCTTTTTTCTTTCTTTCTTTCTTTCTTTCTTTCTTTCTTTCTTTCTTTCTTTCTTTCTTTCTTTCTTTCTTTCTTTCTTTCTTTCTTTCTCCTTCTGTTTTACCAAAGATGAAATAATTCCTGCAAGGATGATGGTAGTCTTGGTGGCACAATGGTTAGAATGCAGTAGTGCAGGCTAATTCTGCCCACAGACAGGAGTTCAATCCTGGCCAACTCAAGATTGACTCAACCTTCCATCCTTTCAAAGTTGGTAAAATGAGGACCCAGATAGTTGGGGGCAATATGTTGATTCTGTAAACCGCTTAGACAGTGCTGTAAAGCACCTTGAAGTGGTATATATGTCTACGTCAGATATGCTAAACTCGCGACATCATGTGATGTCATGCTGTTAAATTACAGCATTTGTGTCATGCCAGATTGAAGTTTCTGTGCACTTTTCTGGCTTTTCTGATAATATGCTTATTTAACAATGCTGTGAAACTGGTAAGAGACACTGGAGAGAAAAGGAAAAAAAATCAGTCGTGTTCAATTAATAAATATGCTTTTTCTAAGGTTGAGTTGAGGTAGCTCTTTTTGGACGCCTATTTATTAATGCCCAACCATTGAATAATTTTAATTGAGTCATTGAACCTGGCTGGGCTTGCAGGTATAAGCATTAGAGTGGCTTTGCTTTGAGTTGGTGGCAAAGCTGGAATAGAAATCATATCCTCTTGATACTCCAAAGATAATAAAAGGATGCTGACTTCAATGTATGAGATGCTCCTCGTAGAGTGGTGGTGAGAATAAATGCATCCATGATACACTGGATTTAACAGCTGGCAGCAAAGCAAAGGTCATCCTTGGGGGAAAAAAATGACACCCAAGGCCTGAAGGAGTCATCTGCTGATCCTGGGCCAAATGTAGAGATCACATTAAGGAGACTGTATCTCCAAACTGCATTTCTTAACATGAAAAATAAAGCAGGCAGGAAAAAAGAGATTCTCATTGGTCGTTCATTCTCACGTATCTTTCTACAGTATAATGCTGGCATGCAACCTCGGATCAGCGGTAAGATATTTTAAACCAGGAAGTTTTGCTGTTTAAAAGAGGTCTAGCATACAGAAATGCACGGATAGATTGTTGTTATTTTTTTAAGGAGAGAATCAATCTTTATGTGCTGAACAGAAACTTGGTTATTAGATCTAACAGTACAGTTTGGGTTTTAATTAAAAAAAAAATTCAGAGATGCTCCCCAGAAGTTGATTTTTTTTTCTCATTCTGCTCTTATACACTGCCCAAATTGGATTTATTTACAGCTAGGTCAGCTTACAGCTAAATAGATGCTGGTTTCAGCTGCAATCCCTAGTTTCTTTGCAGAACAGCAGTTTTGGCTGGAAGGAGATTATTTTGGAGTAAAACAGGTTATGTAGTGTGGGTTTTAAAGGAGTGTATTAGCTTTATTCCCATCTCTGGTTTGCTTCACAAATCCTTGTAAACTCTATCAGGATGTCATTCTGTACATCTCCCTCACCCCAGCCTGGTATTCTCACTGAATCAATGGGGTATGCATAGAATTGCACTTGGGTTTTTTTTCTTGTTCTTTCTCTTCTTTACATCAGCATAGCTTATTCTTTGCAAAAGATAATAAACTTCATTGTATGGCACAGGAATTAAAGTGCATCCCTGCATCCCTTCTCCCTTGCTCATTTTTTTGGTGGGGGGGGGTCCACAAAATGTGGTCAAAAAAGTCAAAACAGTGGCTCCACACCCAACCAAGAAGAATGCCGATCCCTCCATTGTGGCCTTCTCGACTTATTTATACCTGTAGATAATCCATTTTTTAAAATAAATGTTGCTTGTTTTTTTTTTTATCTCCGATCAAAGATCTTCATTACAGTCTTTGGCCAGCCTTTACAATTAAAAACAGTACAGAAGAAAGAGAAATGGTTTAACGCAGCCATTTGTTATTGGGAAAAGAGAAAAGTAATAATACGTCATACAAACACAGACCTAATTAAAAGTTTTGCATAGTTGTGTAACTTGGTAAAGATATTTCGCCACCTGATATGACCCTTAAAAAAACAATAAACATAACATTTATCTGTGTGGCCCTCATGTTTGAAAATAATTGGAGTGATATTTTATTTTGCTTGTTTTTCTGCCTCAAACTTTCCAAAGCAATGCTTCCATTTATCTTTATTTTTAGCAGGATACAATTTCAGAGAGAGAAATCTGTAGGTTTTGACAGTTTATGTATAGAATGTCCAAATCTTTGTTAATTAAAACACAATGAACTGGGATTACGATTGCTGGTTGTTGTTTTTTTATAATAGCCTTTTCCAACCTGGTGTTTAGCAAAAATGAATGAGAGAAACCTAATTCCTATCCAGTTGGGCTGGTAACTGGGGATGATGGAATTCAGTTGGAGAACTGAGATGGACAGCTATAGAAATGGAAAAAAATAAAATAAATGGAAAGTTCTTTTTCAATGAGAGGTTGTGGATGCACGACTTAAAACCATGACTCCCTCCCTCTCTGAAACACAGATTCTGTGTTTGCAAGGCCAAATATATTTGCAACTAAAGAAGAATGAAGTTTGCTATTGAATAAATAGCTCTGCTGAGTGTAAAATAACCAAGCTCAGTTTTGATTCTTTTTAAAAGAATCAGGATTTGTTTTTATTAAACAATCAGGATTTATTTTTATTTTACATAAATATTTTTATTTTATTTACTATTATTATGTCTGGATCATCTATACTGAAAGTTACCATCTAAGACTGGTGAAAACTAAGGACTTAAGAATGATTAAGGTAGCATCTAAGAATATAGCCAGTGTTAAGCAGGATTTTTTTTAAAAAAAATTAGGATGTTCAAGTCTGAACAATTATTATTCATTTTAAATTATTATTATTTCAATCTATTTTTACTAAATTAGGTATCCAAGAGAATCAACTACAACAGTGATGTGAGAGTTTCCTGTTGCCTGGAGCCTGATAAGGTACACTTATATATTTTTCATACTTTATAAAGTATATTTTACACTTTAATGCTATCAGTTTGCTGGTTTCTTTTTAACCATCACCAACCCACCCACCCGTTTTACCCATGCGCATTCAGGAGTTGCGGTTTCTACTAATACAGAGATGTACGTATAGTATTGAATTTTTGTGGATTTATGCTACAAAAGAAAAGCAGAGAGAGGAACTTTGCATGCAAGGAACATTTATTTCTCAAGGGAGTTTTTGATCCCCAGATCAATCTGTAGAACCTATAGGTTAATCTGTCTGCCTGCATGCTCTACCCAAGGCTGAAAACCAGATGCAGTGTTGTTGTTGCTGTTATCTCTTCCTCTTCCTCTTCTAGAAGGAAAAAATTGGCAGGCTCAGTGTAAAAACACAAAAGGAGAGAAACAGAGATGTCTCTTTCTCCATCTCCTCTACTATATGATTTTACTCGGATTTTTACGGTCCATTTTCTGTTTTTCTTTAAATAAATAGTTATGTGGCTTGCTGGGCTGCTGGTTATCAGATTGTTGGTACTCAGGAAGAAGCACACATGCATACTTTATTCTTAAATTTTATTTCTGTTATTTATTTATTATGTTTTTTTTATGTTTAGTATCCTATATGTCAGTGGTGGCGAACCTATGGCCCCAGTCCTAGGCCTTCAGCTGGGTTTTATAAAACCTTTTTGCTTTAGGCCTCCTCCACCATGTACAAAAAAAAAAAAAGGTTCAATCAATCAGTCAATTTCAACTTCTCGCGGAAAAAAAAAGATCTTGCAAAGTTGGAATTTTTAGTCCCACCCAGTCTGCTGTTATCATCGCAGCCACGCCCACCCAATGTGCCACACCCACCTAATGTGTCACACCCACCCAATGGGCCATGCCCATCCAATGGGCCACACCCACCCGGCACCCGACGATGCATAAGTGGGTTTTGGGTTGCAGTTTGGGCACTCAGTCTCTAAAAGGTTCTCCATCACTGCTATATGTGATATAAATATCCTATATCTTAATTGTTAAATCTTTTTTAATGTTTAATGATGGGGGGTCAGAAGGAACTAGATGCATATCTTTAAAATTAAAGAGTCTATAGCTCCTTCCAGTACTTTCCCCTTCACCTTTGTTACCGTACCTTCTCTGTTCCATTCAAAAAGATCCACATAAGCCTGTAAATGTTTAAAATATTGAATTCATTTTTTAAGGCAAGCAGTCTAAAGTGTTCTCACCAGCTGATCTCACCCAATTTCAAAACACTAAGTAAGATCAGGCTGATTAGTACGTGGAAAGGAGACCCCTAGAAAATTCCAAAACCATTACCAAGATTGAGAAATCAAAAAAGGACATTCCAGAGGAAGACAATAGTGTGCCTTTTCTTCATTATCCTAGACCAGGGGTTGGCAACCTTGGCTCTTTTATGACTCGTGGACTTCAACTCCCAGAATTTCTGAGCCATCATGGCTCGGTTTGGAAACCTCTCCCTTTCCCCTTAGCATGGCTGGGTCAGGAATTCTGGGAGTTGACGTTCACGAGTCATAAAAGAGCCAAGGTTGCCAACCCCTGTCCTAGACAAACAGAGGAGAGGAGAGGAGAGAGAGAAGAGGGGGGAGAGGAGAGAAGAGGAGAGGAGAGAGAGAAAGGGGGGAGGGGAGAGGAGAGGAGAAGAGAAGGCAGACCAAGGGGGGAGGGGATGGATTTCCATTGCTTCCTGACAGATTCCCTCAAAGAAACTCAATGGGGAAACTGGCAGATAATCTCCTGCTCCCACAGCTTTTTTTTCCCCCTGCCTGTGGTTTTTCTGTTTCTGCATTTAGGTAAGGAAATATCTGAGAAAAGATGACCCAACAGGGCAACGGGTTTTCTAGTCAAATGTATAAGCATTGAATCTGGGAATGCAGAAGATCTTATTTTTGCCCTAACTGATCTTTTTTTTTCCCCTCATATTATATTATTTATTGTTTTTCCTCACCCAAACCCATACATTTCTCCAATGTCTCAGAAAGAGAGGAATCCTTAGCACTAAGAGCCCCCCCCCCCAAAGTTTCCCTCCCGAAAGGGATCCTTTTGAAGACAAGGGGCCAAGGCATCGTGCTTCCTCCTTTGAGAGCAGATTTAGCAATTGCTGACCGACAAGCGTTGCCAAAGAGGTTCCAGCAAAAATTCGTGTAACTTGAAAACAAACAGATATTGGACCTGGGACGTGTTAATGAACGTGCACAGAAAGGTTCAGATTGTGCTGACCCTTATGGTAATGTTTCATATAAGGTTATTGTTGGGAGAGAAATCAAATTTCAGCCTCGAATCTGATTGACAGGTGGAAACAGGGGAGAGACACATCAGGTCAGGTGGGGAATTTGAGAAAGAGAACGACAAGTGGGGGAAGTTGCAATCTAATATTAGGAATAATAAACCAAGATATGAAAACTCCAGTTCTTATACTCCCGGGGCTTTTATAGGTAAAATTCCCCATCTTGAACTTCTCCAACCAGAATGACTTTTTTTTTAAAAAAGGGAATTTTTAGATCACGTAGCTGATACTTTAGATTTTTTTCGGGGGGGGAGGATCAATTTCAGCTGTTATTGTGATGTGATAAAAGATGAAGAAAGTAATTAAAAAAATAGATTTGTTTTCTTTTAGTTCGAAAATATTATTGGCACAAAACCAGTCATTCATGTTTTACGGAAAAGGGCTACATCAAACATAATAATGAATGATCACATAGGTTGCCATGTAGGGAAAAGATTAGAGCAATGCGAGTATTCGGTTTTAAGATTTGATTTAAAGATGATATTGAATTTCTAAATTAAGGATTAAAATGGAAAGGATGGCTTGAATTATTATCAGATACAGGTGGTTTTTAACTTAGGGGAGACATGATAGCAGTCTTCCAGTATCTGAGGGGCTGCCACAAGGCAGAGGGGGCCAGGCTGTTCACCAAAGCACCAGAGGGAAGGACGAGAAACAACGGTTGGAAACTGATCAAAGAAAGAAGCAACCTGGAATTAAGGAGAAACTTTGTGACAGTGAGGACAATCAACCAGCTTGCCACCAGAAATCATGGGTGCTCCATCACTGGAGATTTTAAAGAAAAGACTAGACAATCACCTGTCTGAGATGGAGTAGTTTCTCCTGCTTGAGCAGGGGGCTGGACTAGATTACCTCCAGGGTGCCTTCCAGCTCTATTCTACTCTATTTATGGCCATTTCTTTAAAAAATCGTTTGAAGTTACAATGGCCCTAAAAAAAAAGTGACTTACAACCAATCCTTTTACTTACTGCTGTAGTGTTCCCTTGGACACGTGATCAAAATTTGTACATTTGGCAACCAGCAACATCCTGGGGTGATGTAATCATCCTTTGTGATCTTCCCAGTGGGCTTCTCATAAACACAGTCAATGGGGAAGCCAAGTTCACTTAATGATAGTGTGATTCGCTTAACAACACGGCAAAGAGCTCCTAAAGCCAGACATGACAATGACTGCATTGCTTAGTAATCAAAGTTCTGTCTCAAGTTGTGATCCTAAATCAAGGACTATATGTTGAAATGAATACAGTGTGACCAGACCAATCTCTGTATCTCTCTTACATTCATGCATACACATATTGTTAATCCATAATGCAATAGCTTTGCCCAGTTAAGACAGTTGTATATCTTGGTGCATTTGACTCAGAGCAACACTTTAGATCACACTGGGTTGGATTCTGATAAGTTAGTAAATACAGTATGCATTCTGTTCTTTCCACCTCATTCCTATCTTTGATGTATGTACTGGGTTGCACTAAAAATTACAAAAATATCTTTCTTGGTTTTATTTTGATCAATTAGACACACAATTACATTGTTCAGATTAATCACCTTTTCTGGTTTTCTATTTAATTTTAGCTTGTAAATGGTATATGAAGAGTAGGAAAAAATTACAGTAGGTAACTAAATTGTCACCTAACATCTGGATTTCTTTTTTGAATAAACACTAATGCATAGTTTATCTTATAAATCAAAACGAGTTAATCACAGAGAACCTGCAGTGTACTAACTGGTAAAATCTGTTCGTGTTTATTCTCTTATCTTCACACTTAAATGACCTTGTAACTTTTAATATGTAATAAGGGTAATTTTTAACCAGCTTGATTAATGCTTAGATTCTTGGAAGAAAAAAACTTACAAGGAAGATTGTGTAAAAGTTGTGATAGATGAAAATCAAGGAAACTGTCAGTTATGGAGGGAAAACGTTATTTAATTGCACTTCAAACATGGGAAAATAATTTTTAGAATGTGTTGTAATCTGTTTTCTTTTAAAGAGGTTCTGGTGCCTGATTTTTAAAATGTGCAGATCTCCTTCCAACATAAAAATAATCATGACAAAATATATTATTTTAAAATAAAAAGATTGAGAATTCTTTCCTTCGTGCATTTATAGCTCTGTTTGTAAACTTCAGTTACTTTCCAAGTATAGAGTGCCATGAACAAGGCAAGTCTGCAGAAAAATATTGTGTTTAGGTCTTGTTTTTGTTAGTTATGAAGTTGTGTCCGAGCCATCGCAACCCAATGGACAACGTTCCTCCAGACCTTCCTGTCCTCTACCATCTTCTGGAGTCCATTTAAGCTCATGCCTATTGCTTCGGTGACTCCATCCAACCACTTCATTCTCTGTTGTCCCCTTTTTCTGTTGTGTAATTGTCTTTTAGATAGTTGTTGGGACACTTTAATATGATGATTAGAAAATCCAAACCAGTTTGTTACCATGCCTTCTGCAGTGTGCCTAGATTTGAACCCAACAGAGGTAAAAATTTAATTCATTTGTGCTTAATAAGGCCCAGACTTACTCATCATTTCGTGAAGATAAATCAAGAAAAATAATCTAACTTCCTGCAGTTTTCTGACCTAGATCCTGCTTGTTGTATCTTGGAATTAGATTTAAAAAAAATATTCAGAATTGGAAATCTTCAACATCTTACGTATGATATCCCCATATCTTGCAAGATATCAGGACTCTCAC